CATGGTGGTTATCAATAAATCATCAGTAAAATTTTAAAAAACTAAAAAAAATTTGATCGCAGTTTCTTTTTTAAAGACAACTAAACTTTGAATGACGATTACTCAATACTTAACTGGCCAAATTTGATTAATTATTTTTTTATTTTAATTCTATGAGCTTACAGAATAAAAATAAAAAAAGTTCATTAAATTTTATCAGATAAGTGCTCAGTAATATTTGTTCAAAGTTTAGTTGTTTTTAAAAAAGAAACTGCGGCCAAATTTTTTTATTTTTAATGAATATTTTTCGACAACATGCTATCCAAATTTAGCCAATTTTTTTTTTTTTTAATTCTATGAACTTATAGAATTAAAATAAAAAAAAAAATCATTAAATTCTAATAGTTGGTTGTCAAAGGATCTTTATTTAAATTTCAAAGAAATATTTATCTAATTTTTTTCTAAGATAGTTTAAGTTTTTTAAAACTTTTACCGATGATTTATCGATGTATACCGAATAGAACTTTTTTTTATTTTAATTATACAAAACTATAGAATTAAAATAAAAAAATATTTATTGAATTTTATCAGGTAGTTAGGGCGCCGACATTTATTAGATAATATTTTAGAGGGTGGGGGTCAAGCAAAACCTTACCTTATATAAAACAATTATGGCTAATCAAATCTATCTAAATATCTTACCTGGGGGTGGGAAGTAAGCCTCTATAGTAAATAGATATTAGGTAATAAATGTCAGAGCTCTTATTGAGAAATCATCGCTAGAAGTTTTTAAAAACTTTTGAATTTATTAATAAATCTGTATACAGAATTATGTAGAATCTACATATGATCTAATTTTTATTGGTTGATTTTGGCGATCATTGGAGAATTTTAATTTGAAATATAGTTTGGTAATATTGGTCAATGTAAAGTAACAAAGTGTGCGCATAAGTCATTTTCATGTGCAGGTGGTGGCTTGACTAGTACATTATGGTGACATCTAGAAACTGACTATAAAGCACAGTATGCTATAACAGAAAACTATTGCAAAAAAAAACAAAAGTTACAAGATGGCACTATTGAAGAGTCATTTAAAAAAGTAAGTTCTTGCTTTTTCAATTTTTTTTAGATTGTTCTAACTTTTTTTTAAAAAAACTTTAGAATTTTAAAGACTCTTTTACCTCAACAATGGTTAATATTAATAATACGAGACTTCAGAATATATTTGCTACATGGATTATTAATTGTCAATGCCCTCTTGTAATAATTGAGGATCCTGAATTTATTAAAATTATCCAGTATTTAAATCTCAAGGCACAAATTATTAAAGCAGATGCAATTAAGAACGTAGTTATAACACTTTATAATTCAGGAAAATGAGAATTGAAGGTAAACATTAAATTTTTTTAAAAAAGTATCTGAAATATGTAAAAAAAAATCTTGAAACGTTGGGTATTGAAGTTTCCACTTGTATACATATAAATCAGGATATTTTTATTAAATACCTGTGATCTTGATATAATAATTGAGTGATAAATATATATATATATATATTTATTTAATAAATACTTATATTTTGTAGGCATATATTTCTTCTATAAATTCTAAGATTTCTTTTACATCAGACCTCTGGACGTCTCTCAACAACAAAGCCTTCATTTCGGTTATAGCATATTATTTAGACAAAAATTGAACCCTCCAAGAAATATTAATCAATTTTGGGCTATTAAGTGGAAGACATGACAAAATAAATATTTTAAATAGATTCTTTAGTGTACTAAAAGATTATAATATTGCATTAAAAGTAATTATTTTATAAGGATCGTATTTTATTTTATTTTACTGACTATAATTAATTTAAAGTACCAATAACATGCTTCAAATACTATTCAAAATTGCTTATATTATTTATATATATTACCAAATCATATAATATATAATTTCGAATAGCATTTTGAAGTGTGACATTCTTTTTTTTTTTTTTTTTTGTTAGCTTTTTGCTATCACACTTGACAATGCTGCAAACAATAGTACTTTTGTTAATGAATTAGAAATGAAGTTAAAAGAAGAAGCAAACTTTAACTAGAATTCAGAACATCTTTGGTTTCGCTGCTTTAATCATATTCTTAATTTAGTAGTGCAAGTAGCTTTAAATCAAATAAAGGAGCATGTTTGCAAGGTATTAATATAAATTTAATAAAAGCTAATTGAAAAAAAATTTTTATTATATTAATAAAATAATAATTAAAATTTGAAACCTTAATACTGCTATTCATATCTCAACATATTGAACTTCTTGAAAATTCATATACTGCATATCATATCAAATTTTACAAACCTATTGGATTGTCCTACTAGGTGGAATTCCACCTATGATATAATCAAAAATGGATTATTTCTTAAGCCAGTAAACTATATTTAATTTCACATTGCTATACGTATGCAGGGACAATAATTTTATACTCTGTAAAGCCAGGTATATTAAATAGCTACCATTTACTATATTATATGTCATTTTATCTTAGCTATATATAAGAATCAATTTTATATGGGTTACTCATTTGGCTTTGTTATATTTTATTTGAGATAAACATTTTGGTTAACAAATAGTAACTGGATTTATGTTAACTCATAAATTGTGAATTAAGCTCAAAGATACTCAAATATACTCGAACCACATGATTGAATTATTGTTCTAATTTTTTGAGTTATGAAAATTAATTACTTAATTATTTGTTAATGTATTTTAAAAGCAATTTTGCTTATTTATAAAAGCAAATATCTCAAATTACAATTACAAAGCAGGTATATATATTAATTATTTGTTAGAAATATTATATCCAATAAATTAATATTTCTCTTCAAAAATTATCTCACTCACCAATTCTGAATTAAGATTTGTATATATATAATTATTATATTCTTTATTAGTAATTTACAAATCTATTGTCCCATAGCGAAAGGGAGAATGAGCCAAAATTAAATTAATTAAAATAAAATTATT